GTTTCGTTCCCCGAAGTGGAGGAAATTTTGTAATGCTAGAGGACATCTATCTACCATATTGGCATTCATTTAAGCATATCAAAAGTTTAAACAACGACTCAATGCATTGCAAATTGTTTAGTTGTTGTGCAAAGATGTGCACACTTTCTATGTTGTTTACAAACTTATGCGTCACTCACCGGTTCGGCTGACGATCTCGGAGCTAGAGAAGCACCTCTCACAGGTGAAGCCTTAAAAAAGAGAAACGAAGTCAGGCTTTTAAAGAGACAGTTGATAAGTCCCAAAACCTGAGCAACTGCATTCTGCTGGCGGCGAGAGCCGAGCAAACACAGAGGCAACCGATGGCATCCTCTTGAGGAAATGCTTAACGTTCAGCATCTTCCAAAGCTAAAAGCGATGTAGTTTTTGACCTTAAAAGGATTTGTTAAAAAATAAAGTGACACGGCACTATTACTAGGAGCTCTTTTAGCCCAGCAGGGTCTCGAGGAGCCATTGCTCCCTTGTACAAGGAGTTGAAGGCTTTTGAGAAGTATTGTGATGTGTTCACAAGATGAATGCCAGTCTGATGTGTGTACATGCATTTACCAAACGTCAAAAATCAACATTTTGATTGCTTAGCGGTTGCTTTCCTTCACCTTTTAATGAAAACCGAAAATCGGTTTGGTTAACTTCCTTTAAAAAGCTTCATTACTGGGAACAATGAACTCTAGTATTTTGCTTTTAATCCCATATCAGAATGACTATTCTCACATTACTTGATGTCACTTGTTGCGTCTTATAACCATTATGGTCCATAGCGATCAAAGAGTGTTAAAAGTGGGCCGTTAGTTAAACTTAATTTCAGGCGAAGTTGCACTAGGTTTTTGTCGAAATGTGAACAGTCAGCAGCCAAACATGCAAAGGGCTTCGTCAATGAGTGTTGAGGAAAAATAAACAAAAACACAAGAATTGGAAGGCGGGTGTAGGCAGACGGGGAGTGCTCGACTTTGAGACGGGATGGAATTCCCAAACTGCGTTGACTTACCCGAGGGGAAACGAGAAATCGAGACTCCGGAGTAACCGATCTCACAAATCTAGAACGAATCACTGGCCCTCTGGGGAGCTTCTCGTGTAATGGCTGCTCAAGCGAGCGAAAGGTGGGAGGTGTGAGGAAAATGCAGGAGGTGAATTAGACGAGATCAAGCGACTGCTCTTCATCTGAACATCACTGTTGCTACATCACAGCCTTACTTTGCATGGATTAAACTATGTAGTTTGAGAATGCTGTTGTAGGTCTAGCGTCCAAGGCTCTATTCACAGATTTAAAAGTAAGTAGAATGATCAAGTTTTAGCTCCATTTCAGCCTCCTGTAGTTCAGGCATGACAACTACTGATAATTCAAGCTAACCACAATTGTGGCTGTCGCTGAAGGTATTTAAAAATGCCCTAATTCTTGGTGGAAAGTGAAGCATTCGTAGTTAAAAACGAATAAAGCCATTGGCTTCATATCCTTTTGAGACCTAAGCATGACGCTAGTAATCGCAAATGTACACATGATCTTCCTCTGGTCCGGCGACTTTTGAATTTAGCAATGACTTGATTTTTTTGCTTCAAAACGAAATGAGCCTCACCCGAGTATCTCTGGCAAATGCCTCCAAGGCATTGATTTCATTCATCACAGAGGATGTTGTTGAGGTTCCCGGGGGTGGAGGTGGAGGCGGAAGGTGTGGGGATCGATGACGAACCCGTAAACTCGACTGCCTAGGGACCATCGGAGGCATCGCCCTCTATGGAATAACGCCAATGCCTCATACAATCTCTCACCGTGGCACACAACGTTCCTCAATAAAGCTGTCGATTGATGTGCAAAAATAGGGTAGCAAATGCTCTACCCACATTCCTCATGCCCAAAATATGCAAAAGAAAACTTGTCAATCAGGGCTCATTTGCCGCACAGTATGCAATAAATGGTGAGCGCTAAGCAAACGCTTTAGTGTCGTCGTTTCGTGGAGAGGGGTCGACTCCTATTTCAATCAAAATAGTTTGATTTTAAGAGGGCGTGAGGTGGAACTTCATAGTTCATTCCTGCTTTGCCTCGATTAATACATAAACAAGCTTCCCAAACTACAAACTAAACAACTCTTAAAGGGCACAGACAAGTGATCTGCTTGAAATTAACGCAGTAATGCAGCCAACACGAACTGAGATGGAGGAATTTGATTAGCTATGACGCGCTATTTTGGCTGTTTCGGTAATTTGTTAAAATGTTCGTTGCATTCAATTATCCCGGTCGGCAATGCATGAGCACGTGAGAGCACAAGCAAAGCGATTTGCCCCACACCCGCGAGACGAGCAAAGACGAGATGCAGCGTTTGTGATGACTCTTTCCTTGTGTGGTGATGAGTAGCTGCAGCTTACACTCGGATCCTTATCGCCATCAGGATCGTTACTGCTCGCTTTGTTGGTGAAGGAAGTGGATCCAAAGGAGGCCCGACGAACCGGTGAAGCATTGTTCTACCAGTCGAGGGGAATGAAGGGGGAGAAGTGGAGGCGGAAACGGAGAAAAGGAAGAAAAGAGCACAATGCCTAATTAGGTCATATTTTCGGTCACATTTGTTGCATCCATGCGGTAAAGGTGGGTGTTTCATTTCTATATTCCTTGCATTCATCAAGAAGCGATCCAAAATGGGCAATCATGTAAGACAAGATCTGTGTTAAGCATGGCTCTCGATATCAAAATTCATACATTATCTTGAGTAGACTTTTGGGTGAGCAAGGAGATTCTTCGACCATTCATGGCAATACGTACAAGCATGCAAAAACCGTCGATCCATATGTGATGAAAATCACAACCATGGGTCGTTTGCATGTGAGGTGGTGTGTGTATGAAACACTGCTGGTCCTTGGACAGCGGCTGCCTTGGGTTCGCAGGGGAGCTGAGGTGGCAGTGCAGCGCGAAAGCGTAAAATATAAGTAATTAAGAATAATTGTCCAAGTTAAACTCTTATGTGCTTCCAAGCTATGCTCTTTAAACAAAGTTCTGACATTTTGTCTCTGTTCAAATTAGCCGCTTTTAGCGTAGAATTGTCCTGATTGCATTACCCCGACATCGGGTGCCAAAACGTAGGGATAAAATTATGCAAGGTTATCTTGTGTAGACTTTAAATTACAAATTTTCGGTGAATGATTTTAGTTGGAATTGCTTTTTTACTTCCACAGATTAATTTATTATTTTAACACAACGCTGTATTCTAAGGTAATTAAAGAGTTGCTTCAGTTCTCGTCTTTTAAGGAGGCCTTTAAGACGAAGTCTAAGCTTTGACCCGAGTAACACAGCAGAATTCATAGCAATAACACAATGAATAGCCATAGCAGAACTTAGCACCATGATGTTAGCCATGCAAACGGAGAAGTGGTGCCAGCAATTGTGGAACTGCGATGAAGGGCTTACAGTGGCAACCGAATCGGACGCCAAACTACCCCCTCGCGTGGCACGTGGCATGCGAGGAGGCAGACCAAAGGAATCTCGTCGTACTCCTCTATTCGAACCGTGCCCGGGAGCACTTAGTGGGAACTCCTTTATTTGGCAGGAAGGCAAAATATTAGTGTTTTTAGAGGCTGGTGACAACAATGCTCAAGTGGATGGAGTCTATCACAATGGTTTGCAGGCCAAAAGGCGCAGTACGACACTCACTATAGCCGCTTCAAATTTACGCAGGGCATCCTCGTCTCTGATCTTGGCCTTTTGACGCATTGCGTCACAGCTGTCCAGAAAGTCTGATGTTGCTTGACGCGCGCGCAAACGAATTTTTTCTATGGCAGCCTCGTCAACTGAAAAAAAAACGATTTTTGCAGCCATATTAGCAATGTTGTCAAGATGGAGACAATCACAAAAATTTAACGTATACAACTTCGAAAGTCTTTTAACTGAAATAAGTTTACCACTAACTACTTCATCAATCCTTTAAGGTTTTGCAGTTTTACCCGAATTCGAGTTTAAAAACTTGGAAGAAGTTAATTTTCTTTTTCTGATTATCTGGTAAGTAAGTTTGGCAACACGATTTCCGGCTTCTGTAGAAGTTGTTCTCGAACAACCATTAAGATTCCTACTTTCCTTCTTGTAATCAGGCTTAAAATGGCCCACTCAGTGTGATAATCCAATGATCCTAGAGATGAAAAATGCCTTTCTTAGTGGTGGTATCTCGCGTACCGGTATCTGTAGCTCTTTTATAAGGCGCAATTCTTGGTTAGCCACTCAGTCGCTCAGCAAGCCGACCTCCGCGGCAAACTGCTCTACCGCATTGGGGCGTGCGGGTGCCTCTTGACGCCGCACCCTTAATAGAACGAGATGGTCAGATTAAGGGGAATGTGGAAGTTAATCAGCTCTTGTCATAAGTTAGTGGACGAAAGTTCGTTCTCCAACTGGAATTCATTTTGTGCAATAAAACAATTGTAGGCACTTTTGATGGCTCACATTTAACCGGTGTGTGCATATAATTTTGTGCATAAAATTTGTGCCTTAAGCAGTGTCTTTATTGCGCATTGG